ATATATAATTTTATCTGCACCTATTTCAACATACACTTGTAAAAGATACTCAAGTCACTGCAGTCGAGTCAAATCGACTCATAGAGACTCCTCCTTGAGTTTCTGAGGCGATGTCTCTGTGGAAGTAGATTGACCAATCTTCCTTTCGAGGAAAAAACTTAATAAAATAGCCACAATACTACTATCATATTTTTAAAAATAATAAGGATTTAAAATTGAACATCCCCAATTTTTTTCCATTTTCATTGCTTTATAGTTTTCTTGTTTTCACTGTCTGTGAATAACAAACAAAAAACAAACACACTGCTGTTGAGTTGGATCTGACTCATAATGACCCCTCCTTGGGTTTCCAAGGCAGTATGACTACAGAAGTAGATTGCCCAACCTTCCTTCCGAGGAGTGGCTGGTGGGTTTGAACCGCCAGCCTTCTGGTGAATAAGAATCCAGAAAAGGTCTAGAATTGTATTTGGGGGATTTAAATCTTAAGTATCTTTTAATCTGTAGGTTTTCCCTCTCCCTCTCTGTTTTTCCTTTGAATTTATTTGTTGAAGAAAATTAGATCTGTTGTTTCCTGCAGTCTGGATTTTGCTAGTTTTATAACTGTGGTGATGCTCAACAAGTTCCTCTGTCCCCTGTATTTTCTGTAAATTCATTTTTGGATTTAGAGTGTTAATTAGATTTTTTTGGTTAACTACTTCACAGGAGTTTTATGGATGTCCATCAGCAGACACAAATGTCTGGTTGTTTCTCTTTAGCAACCATTTTTGATTAAAAAAACAAACAAAAAACCCAAACTCACTGCCATTGAATCAATTCGACTCATAGTGACCCCTCTGAGTTTCCGAGGCAGTATCTCTATGGAACTAGACTGCCCAATCTGCCTTCCAAGGAGTGGCTGGTGGGTTTGAACCACCAGCCTTCTGGTTAGCAGTCAAATGCCTTAGGCACTATGCTTCATTGCCTTGTTTTTATTGTTAGGTGCTGTTGAGCTGGTCCTGACTCATAGCAACACCATGTACAATAGAATAAAACACTGTCTGGTCCTGCATTCTCCTCACAATCCTTGCTGTGTTTTAATCCATTGTTGCAGCCAGTGTGTCAGTTCATCTTGTTGAGAGTCTTCCCTTTTTTTGCTGACCTTCTACTTTACCAACCATGTTGTCTTTCTTTCAGGGACCGGTTCCTCCTGACAACATGACCAAAGAACATGAGAGAAAGTCTCACCATCCATGCTTTTTAGGCACATTCTGACTGTACTTCCAAGACAGATTTGTTCATTCTTCTGGCAGTCTGTGGTATATTCAACATTCTTCACCAACACCACAATTCAAAGGCATCGATTCTTTGGTCTTTCTTCTTCAGTGTTCAGCTTTTGCATGCATATGAGGCTACTGAAAATACCATGGCTTGTGTTAGGCACACCTTAGTCTTCAAATTTGTATCTTTGCTCTTCAACAATTTAAGCACCGGGTTTGCCCAGTGCAATACATCATCTGATTTCTTGACTGCTATTTCCATGTATCCAAGTACAATGAAATCCTTGACAATTTCTATCTTTACTACATTTATCATGATGTTGCTTATTGGTCCAGTTGTGAGGGTTTTTGCTTTCTTTAAGATGAGGTGTAATTCAAGGCTGTAGTCTCTGATCTTCATCAGTAAGTACTTCACGTCCTATTCATTCTCAGCAAGCAAGGTTGTGTCATCTCATATTGCAGAGTGTTAATGAATCTTTCTGCAATCCTGATGCTGTGTTCTTCTTCATATAGTCCAGCTTCTCAGATTATTTGCTCAGCATACAGATTTTTATTTTCCAGGGTGATACACATATGGTACATTCATCAGAATGAAATTTGTTATTCAAATTCTACTATTCCTTCTCAGTAACCATAAGACTTTCATAGAGGAAACAGTTATACACTACTCAATTGTATGGGTGTTTATTCAATCAGTCTAAACAGAATATTTTATGTCAGATACCCTATTTCTCAAACAGAGTTTTACTGTGATTGGTTTTCAAACAAAAGAGAGGTTTTTTGGTTGCTATTACTTAATACTCTCACAGAGAATACAGAGTATGTTCAAGACCAAAGTAGCATTTGGGGAAAAGTGAAAAAGTATTTCCATATGATAATATAAATAAAATTTTCACCCTCCAAAATAATTGTTACTAAAATATTTTTTGTTTGTTTGTTTATTAAAAAGTACCCAGGAATCATTAATCTGGAAAGAAAAATCAGCATGGAGAAGCAATCTCAGTCTCCTTTCCTTCCAATGACAAGTAGTAAGAACTAGAGAGCCTCCTTTACATGTGTCCTCTGTTTCTTTTTTTATACATGGATCTAAACTTAAGTACAGTGCTTTTTTTGGTGACAGTATATGCCAGGATGGCATATCAGAACATTTTCCTTTCTTAGAGCAACATTGAAACACATCTGTTATAATGAATCAGTTAGCAATTCATTGATTCATGTAGCAAGAATAAGAAATTCAAAAGCCATCATATGGGTTGGACTACATGATCTCTTTGCTACTAAAAGTATTAACTAAGCTTTTCTTTTTTGTTTTCCACCATAAAAACTAAAACAAAATACAGTTACCATGGAGTCAATTCCAACTCATGGTCACCTCATGTATGTCAGAGTAGAACTGTACTCCATAGGGCTTCAGTGGCTGATTTTTCAGAAGTGAATGCCAGGCCTTTCTTCAGAGGCACCTCTGGGTGAACACAAACCTCTAATCTTTCAGTTAGCAGCTGAGCATATTAACTACTTCCACCATCAACAACCAAACCAAACTCATTGCTATCTAGTGGATTCCATCATCTCACTCACTGCCATTGAGTTGATTCCAACTCACAGTGACCCCCATTGGGTTTCCAAGACTGTATATATATATATATATATATGTATATATATATATATATATATATCTGTTTATCCACCTGTATATCCATGTTTGCCTTCACTGACAACACAGTACTGTATGTGCAAAAGGGTTCATCTTTGTTGTCTGTACCTCCCATGCACCTCTCTATGTCCTCTTCCTCAACGCCACCATGTTGATTACTCACCTTTGGTACATTTTTCTTCTCTTCACCCAAATCAATACTTGTTTCTACCTATCTAACAGTGTTACGTTTTTATGGAAGCAGACTGCCCAATCTTTCTTCCATGTAGCAGCTGGTGGGTTTGAATTGTCAACCTTCTGGTTAGCAGAGAAATGCCTTAACCACTATACCACCAGAGCTCCTTCAATTTCATCATAGGACATGTTAACTCACATCTGGCATTTTGTGACACTTTTCTGTGTTGGGAATTATAGCAGGTAAAAGGCCATGTGAACTAACAGTTCTTTAGTATACTGGAGATCAGAATGAAGAAGAGAAAGCAGGGTGAGACATTTTTCAATTTATCAAAATACTTTTTTGATAAAAATCTCGAGACTTATTATTTATCAGCTTATTTTATTTAATACAAGACTTCTTATACTAAAATATCTTACACAAAATTAACAATATTTTGAAATTTCAGGAGATATTTTTTTCTTCTCTTTTTCTCAGAATAGGGACCATGAGAGTAAACTAGCAATTCACAGGTATGCCAGGAAAAAATTCGTTCTTTTTATGTCAGACAAAATCTTGTTTTTCTAGTGAAAGTGAAAGAAAGCAAAGCTCAATTAAATTAGCCTGGCTGACCGGGAAACAACTCCAAAAACCCACCTCTTCTAAATCACAAAGTGAATATAGGTACCATGCTATTTATGTTCATTAAAAGTCATTTATTTGTTTGTGCTAATTATCAATTGCTGTGAAACAAATTACTCCAATGCTTAATGGTCAAAAACAACACACATTTATTATCTCCCATTTTCAGTGGATCAGGAATTTAGAATTGGCTTTGCACAAAGGCTTGAATGTCAGGAAGCAGAAAACTTTGGGAGCCATCTTAGAGGTTGCCTACTATAGTTTTGTTTATTTTAAATGTACATTTTAAAAATAAAAAATACATTCTCATAGTTAAAAATTCAAAATGTGCAAGATATTGTATAGTAAGAAGTTTCCCACATACTCCCATCATCCAGTTCCCCGCCTTTAACAAAGTGTACTACTAGATTCTTTCAGGGACTTTCTGTTAAACGTTAACCTGACAGAGTGGGAGTCCATATGGTGCAAGCAGAAAGCCATTTTAATCTTCTCCCCTCCACCTAGCCAGTTCAAATCTGCTATGTGGAGATAACTTCCCCACCCATGGATGAAATCTGAGTGGGGTGCTATGACTTCATCCCTCTCTCATTTAATAAGGAGTCCTCCCATCACTTTTAGTTACAAAGTAATTTCATTTCAGCAAAAAAAGAAAAGCCTAGTTCTAAATGATATTCAAACTCTGAACTTTTAGGTCAAAGCTTCACTCCTTTCCCTAGCTTGGGCTTGCTTCAGGCTAGAAGCTTACAATGAGAAAAAGCAGAGCCCTTGTGGTCGGTGTCTCCATTTCCCTATTTTGTACTCCTGTACTTTCTCCTCTGCTTCCTTCTAACCCTACTGGGTTGCCTTAATCTCTTCCAGGGTTGGGGAATGAGAAACGGTGAAGAAAGGTAAAACAAAACAAAACAAAATTACTTGTCATAGAGTTGATTCCAACTCATGGTAACCTGTCTGTGTCACAGCAGAACTTTGAAGAGAGATAAGGAGCACTTTTCTTCAGCGTGGGCTCTTGTGGCTGGCTTGGAGGTTTCGCCAACTGTAGCTTTCTTGATGCTTGCAAATTCCCTTTGTCATTTAGCAGTTGCTTCAAGGATATATGTCCAGCCTGCTATGTGCCAGAGTCACTTTAGCCCTGGCAGGAAGCCTCTTGGGCAAAGCCTCCTCCAAGATAGCTCCAGGAGAGTGTCCCCTCTGACTCCTTAGCCTCTCCTGGTCCTGGAAAACCCTCATACACCTTTTGGAATGTCCTCCACTGTTTGGAAAAGTGATAAAGACTGTTTTTGCTCCTTGAGGGTTTTTAATTTCTTGTACTATCTTGCTCACTTTCTTTAGGAATTATATCCTGGGAAGAAGGAATGCTTGATGTGTCATTCCAGGGATCAAAATTCAAAAAAAGAGGATGTATCTGCTGGTGGGTCAAATGCTTGCCTTATAGAATATGTACGGACAGGAAGTGAAAGACTTTTCTTGTAGAACATACTTCCCACATGCTGTGAAACCTATGAAGACAAAATAATTATAGAAATTAAATCTATGGATTCTTTCAATAACCCAGCGTATTCTGCTTAACTACAGATGAGAGGCACCCAGCATACTCTGCTTAAATACAGATGGCAGGCTGTTATGGATTGAAATATGCACCCCACCCCCAATACATGTTGTAAATCTTAACCTCTCTGTTTGTGATTGTAATCCCATTTGGGAATGAGTTGTTTTTGTTATGTTAATGAGGCAGGATTATTGTTGTTGTTGTTATGTGCCAGGTCCACCCAACTCATAGCAACCCCTCCTTGGGTTTCCCAGGAGGTATCACTACAGAAGTAGATTGCCTCATCTTCCTTCTGAGGAGTGGCTGGTGGGTTTGAACCGCCAGCCTTCTGATTAGCAGTCAAGTGCCTTAGACACTATGCTACCGGAGTGTAGGGTACATTTTAAGTCAATGTCTTTTGAAATATAAAAGAGATTAAACAAGCAAGCTAGGAAACAGAGATGAGGGAAGAGAGAGGCCAAGACACATGAAGATTGCCCAGGAGCTGAAGCTCAAGAGAAACAAGAATCTTCCTCCAGAGCTGACATACAGATAAAGGCTTCCCCTAGAGTAGTCACCCTGAATTTGGATTTCTAGCCTCCCTAACTGTGAGAAAATAAATATCTGTTTGTTAAAGTCACCCACTTGTGGTTTTTCAGTTATAATAACACTAATTAACTAAAACAGAGGCTGAGGTCATTTCAGGCATGAAGCATCTATGTAGTTGTGGGTATCACAACTTTCTCTACACAACTCTAGTGTGTGTGTGGCTTTTTTATTTCTCTCAGAATCACACAGTGTTTACAGCTGTGAAAATTGGTACCAAGGGGGCAGTAACTTTCCAACTTTCCTTCCTGGTTTGGCTGTAGATTATCTGCACATGCAATTATTTTTCTCTAAATTCACTCCACCTTTTCCTTCTCCATTGGTCCCCAAAGAAATCCCACAGACACCCACCCATCTCTACCAAGCCAGCCCAGTTCTTTTCCTGGCTGTTGCAACAATTCTTTAACCAACCTCAGCACACATTTGGCCTTCAATGGGTTTAGCATTAAGACATAAATGAGGCTACTCTGGGACTTGGTGCCCAGCACTAAGCACTCAGCTCCTACACTGGGCTCCAATTGCTTTTGCTATAAACCTGAATCTGAATGGGAACCAGGAGATTTCTACATTGTTGTCACAGCTCAAACCCAAGCTGCTTTCATTATATCTAAGTCCCCAAATTCTAGTACCCCTTTCCTCTTCCTTTCTCCTACCCTCTTCCTTCTATTCACAGTTCACTGGTCTACTTTCTAAGTTTCTATTCTGAAGGTAGGTTTCCTTTTTCATGTCAGTGCTCTTTATAATGGGATTTTGCCCTTGATCCCTATTTAGAGGGTGGGACCTTGCTTCTCATTCAGTGATGAACTCCTACATGATCACCTTCTGGGACTTCAGATGTTACTCAGTGTCTTTCAATTCTGCTATTTTAATTGGACCTCTAAAATTCCTGGCTTCAAGGACTCTATAACTTATCTCTCTGGCTGAACAACTACCACCAGCTGGAGCTTTCTCCCAGTTCCTGTGAGAGCCCAAGACCAGGCCTAGCCCCCTCTCTTCCCTTGCCCTATAATGATAGAGATAGGGCCTAAGATATTAGTTCAGTTGGGCTTTGTGGAGTCATTTATACATATCATATGGGAACATCAAGATATAACTACAGCCTTGTGAAAATAATACAGGGGAAAAAAATATAAAAAACAAGTGGGAAGACTATTACTAGAGCTTGGCCAGATTTTAATGACCCATCAAAGAAAACCAAAGTGATAAATCAAAACCAAAGAAAATGTGGACCCAATAAAGAAAAAAGATTATTCCAATGAGAAGACTTGATCACTTTTAAATATTTTCTCAAAACAAGTAACCAAAGGGTCATAGTTTGAGTCACATAACACTTGAATTATAATAACCCATTGGAATATACCGACCCCCATTTTGTGATGGCTTTAGCTGAAAGTGTAAATCCAAGCTGATGGAATAGTGTATGTTTTCGTTTCCAGAATCAGATGGAATAAATGATCTAAGTCACCACCATCTTTCACAGAGGCACAACTTCAAACTTTGCCCTCACAGATCATTTCAGTTATTAGGGAGCTCAGAGAAGTGTCAAGAAATTCAAGGCCATGAGACAGAGAATGAGAAAATGGTATTATGGATTGAATTGTGCTTCCTAAAATCTGTGTCCACCACTTATGTGTTGGTTTGCCATATTATGGTGGCTTATATGTTGCTGTGATGATGGAAGCTATGCCACTGGTATTTCAAATACCAGCAGGATCATCCACGGCAGACAGGTTTCAGTGGATCTTCCGGACTAAGAGAGCCTAGGAAGAAGAGCCTGCAACTTACTCCTGAAAAGATTGGCCAGTGAAAACTTATGAATAGTAATGAAAGACTGTCTGATAGAGTGCCAAAGATGAGCTCCTCAGCTTGCAAGGCACTCACAATATAACTGGGGGAAGAGCTGCCTCCTCAAAGTAGAGTTGACCTTAATGAAGTTGACCTTAATGAACTTAATGAAGCTCTTGAGACCTTCGTTTGCTGATGGGACACAACTCAAAATGAGAAGAAACAGCTGTTAATAATCGGAATGTGGAATGTACATAATATAAATCTAGGAAAATTGGAAGTGGTCAGAAATGAAATGGAATGCGTAAAGATCAATATCCTAGGCCTTAGCAAGCTGAAATGGACTAGTATTGGCCATTGTGAATCAGACAATCATATGGTCTACTATGCTGGGAATGAGAAATTGAAGAGGAATGGTGTCACATTTATCACCCAAAAAATAAATAAATAAATAAAATAAAAATCTATTCTGAAGTACAATGGGGTCAGTGAAGCATAATATTCATACACATACAAGAAAGACCAGTTAATAAGACTATTCAAATTTACACACCAACCACTAATGCCAAAGGTGAAGAAACTGAACTTCTGAAGTGTGAAATTAATCAAATATGCAAGGAAGAAAAAGAATTGCTAATTACTGGTGATTAGAATGCAAAAGTTGGAAACAAAGAAGAACGGATAGTTGGAAAATATGACATTGGTGATAGAAATGACACCAGAGACCGTACGATAGAATTTTACCAGACCAACAACTTGTTCAATGCAAATACCTTTTTTCAACAACATAAATTGCAAGTATATATGTTGACCTCACCAGATGGAATATGCAGAAATCAAATCAACTATATCTGTGGGCAAAAAAGATGGAGAAGCACAATAACATTAGTCAGAACAAGGCCAGAAGTTGACTGTAGAACAGATCATCAATTGTTAATATGCAAATTCAAGTTGAAGCTGAAGAAAACTGAAAGTCCAGAAGAGACAAAGTATGACTTTGAGTATATCCCACCTGAATTTATAGATCATCTCAAGGTAGATTTGACACATTGAACACTAATGACCAAAGACCAGATAAGTTGTGGGATGACATCAAAGACATGATACATGAAGAAAGCAAAAGGTCATTAAAAGGCAGGAAAGAAAGAAAAGATCAAAATGGATATCAAAGAGACTCTGAAACTTGCTCTTGAACATAAAGGAGATTCATCAAATGGAAGAAATGATAAAATAAAAGAGCCAAACAAAAGATTTCAAAGGGCAGCTCAAAAAGACAAAGTAAAGTATTATAATGAAATATGCAAACCTTGGAGTTATAAAACAAAAAGAGAACATGCTGAGTATTTCTCAAGCTGAAAGAACTGAAGAAAAAAATTCAAGTTGCAATATTGAAGGATTCTATAGGCAAAATATTGAATGATGCAGGAAGAATCAAAAAAAGATGGAAAGAATACATAGAGTCATGATAAAATAATTGGTCAACGTTCAGCCATTTCAGGAGGTGGCATATGATCAAGAACTGATGATATTGGAGGAAAAAGTTCAAGCTGCACCAAAATCATCGGTGAAAAATAAGTCTTTAGGAATTGACAGAATACCAACTGAGATGTTTCAACAAATGCATGCTGTACTGGAAGCACTCATTCACGTATGCTGAGAAGTATTGCAAGACAGCTACCTGGCCAAATGACTGGAAGAGATCCATATTTGTGCCCATTCCAAAGAAAGATGATCCAACAAAATGCAGAAACTATCAAACAATATCATTAAAATCACATACATGTAAAAATTTGCTAAAGATAATTTAAAAACTTTCAACAGAACTTTGACCAGGAACTGCCAGAACTTCAAGATGGATTCAGAAGAGGATGTGGAACAAGGGATATCAGGGCTGATGTCAGATGAGTCTTGGCTGAAAATAGAAAATACCAGAAAGATGTTAAGCAGTGTTTTATTGCCTATGCAAAAGCATTTGACTATGTGGGTCATAACAAATTATGGATAACAATGAGAAGGATGGGAATTCCAGAACATCTAATGGTGCTGATGAGGAACCTGTACATAGACCAACAGGCAGAACAAGGGGATACTACATAGTTTTAAATCAGGAAAGGTATGTCTTAGGATTGTATCCTTTCACCATACTTATTCACTCCATATGCCGAGCAAATAGTCCGAGAAGCTGGATATGGTAGTTAAGGTTATGTGTCAACTTGGCTGGGTCTTATGAGTAGCTGGGCAGCTGGATATAGTCATTCCCCATTCCCCATGATGAGATCGATAATCAACTCCATGGTGGAGTCTACTGGACCAGTTAATAGCTGCATTAGGGATGTGGTCTGCTTCCAGTACAAAAGGAAAAGGTTTGAGAAAGTTCTCAGCAGCTTTTTGGCACACTTGGACCCTGCATGTAGCCGAATCTTCATTCAGCAGCCTGCTATGTTTCCTGCTGATCTTAGGACTGTCTCTGGACTTGCATCAGTGGCTTGCTGTATGGTTTGGTAATATTGGGACTGTGCCTTTTTACTTGTCGACCTTGGGTTTGTCAGCCTGAGTAGCTAGCAGCTGCCTGAGTGAAGAAAGCCTCCAGCTTTCATGGGCTGGGAGCAAGAAACAGACCTGAAGCCCAAATTTGAGGGGCTTTCACTCAGCCCCTCAAAGAATGAGGCACTTTGAACTCGGACTTTTAGCTTCTATAACCAAGAAAATAAACTCTTGTTTGTTAAAGTCACCCATTTGTGATATATTTCTGTTAGAGTGGCCCTAGGTAACCAAAACACTGGACTATATAAAGAAGAACACACCATCAGGATTGGAAGAATTACCAATGTATGATCGGCGATGACACAACTTTGCTTGCTGAAAGTGAGGAGTACTTACTGATGAAGACTGTAGTCTTCAATATGGATTACACCTTAACATAAAGAAATCAGGTCCTCACAAGTGGACCAATAAGCAACATCATGACAAACCACAAAATATCGAAGCTTTCAAGAATTTCATTTTACTTGGATCCACAATCAAACCCATTGAAGCAGTAGCCAAGAAATCAAACAACATATTGCATTGGGCAAATCTCCTGCAGAAGACTTTTTTAAGTGTTAAAGAGCAAAGATGTCACTTTGAGGTCTAAGATGTGCCTGCCCCAATCTGTGGTATTTTCAGTCTCCTTATATGCATGTGAAAACTGTACAACAAATAAGGAAGGCCAAAGAAGAATTAAAACCTTTGAATCATGGTGTTGGCAAAGAATATTGAATATACCATGGACTGCCAAAGATGAATAAAACTGTCTTGGGTACAGCCAGAATGCTACTTAGGAGCAAGACTGGGCCAGACTTTGTCTCATGTACTTTGTCTGTGTTACCAGGAAGGACCAGTCCCTGGAGATGACACAATGCTCAGCAAAGTAGTTGTTGTTGTTATGTGCTGTCCAGTCGGACCCGACTCATAGCGACCCTTCCTTGGGTTTCCAAGGCAGTATCACTAGGGAAGTAGATTACCTCATTTTCCTTCCGAGGAGTGGCTGGTGGGTTTGAACTGCCAGCCTTCTGGTTAGCAGTCAAGTGCCTTAGGCACTATGCTACCAGAGCTCCTATAGTAAAGTAGAAGGTCAGCAAAAAAGAGGAAGATCTTCAACAAGATGAATTGACACAGTGACTGCAACAACAGCCTCCAACAAAACAATGATTTTGAGGATGGTGCAGGACAAGACAATATTTAGTTCTGTTGTACATGGGGTCACTGTGGTCGAAGCTGACTCCACAGCATCTAACAATAACAGTAAAATATGTGTTAGACTCTTAATTCCTATACCTGTGGATGTAATCCCATTTAGGATTTTCTTCGTTATGTTAATGAATCCATATCAGTGTAGTGTGTGTTATAAACCCATCTCTCCTGAGTTGTAAAAGCAACAGATTAGGCATCAGGGAATGTACAAGTGGGGGAAGATAGGTGGCACATGAAGATCACCAAGGAGTTGAGGAAGACCCGGTTATAAAAGCTGAAAGAGACAAGGAACTTCCCCCAGAGCCAACCGTGAGAGAAAGCCTTCCCCTACAAGGGGAATTATGGTGCTCTAAACTCAAACTTCTAGTCTTCTGAACTGTGAGAAAATAAATTTCTGTTCTTTTAATCCACTTGCTTGTGGTATTTTGTTATGGCAGCACTAGCAAACTAACACAAATGATAAAATGAGAAAAAATCACATAAATTATTAAAGTGTTTTTTCAATAACTTCTCTATTTTCAGTTTAGTCTAGGATCTGTTCTTTTTCGTATTCACTTTCCTTCTAGGAAGTTTCTAGTTGTGCTAAATCTTTTCTATGCTCTCCTAGTATCCATCAATGTGTCCTTCTGTGGTAGTTAAGGTTGTTGTCAACTTGGCTGGGTCTGGTTGAGTGGCTGGGCAGCTGGAGGTAGTTATTCCTCATGATGAGACTGGCAATCAACTCCTTGGTGGAATCTACTGTGAGCAGCTGAGTAGCTGCTTTAGGGATGTGGTCTGCTTCCCGTATATATGAATACACTTTAGGACTGAGCTCTAACCTTTTGTCATGCTTGAACCCTGCATGTAGCCAAGTCATTATTCAACAGCCTGCCATGCCCTGCTGATCTTGGGACTTCATCTGGACTTGAATTAGTGGCCTGCCATGTTGTTTGGTAACATTGGGACTGTGCCTTTTTCTTGTCAACCTTGGGCCTGTCAGCCTCAGCAGCCAGCAGCTGTCTGAGTGAAGAGAAGCCTCCAGCTTCAGTTGGCCAGGAGCAGGAGGCAGAGCTGAAGCACAAGGTTGAGGGGCTTTCACCCAGCCCCTAGAGCCTGGCACTTTGAATTCGGACTAAAGCCTCCAAACTGTAAGAGAATAAACTCCTGTTTGTTCAAGCCATTCCACCTGTGGTATATTCTTGTCAGAGTGGTACTAGGTAACCAAAACTTGTTCCCTCAGTGACAAGATACCAATTTGTATTTAAACAATATAACTATAGGAGTAAACTCCTATAGGGTGAATGTTTCAGCTAATTCTTGATATTAGGGCATCAATAAAAACAATAAAATTAATTGAAAAAAAAAAGCACCCAACAGCAACCAAACAACAAGTTAGGGTGAAACATTTTGAAGGTGATTTTTAAAGAAAGAGTGGTATCTATAGTGAAAGCTTGAAAGAATAGAAATGATTTGAAAGAAGAAAGTGCAGTGTTCATTTCTTCTATACATAAATAAATAATTTAAAAATGAATACTGAACTTATAAAACACTTTGAAATGGCAATTTAAAAAAATATCTTTTACCACAATAATAAAAGTAATATGGTGTTGTACCAGTGTTAATTTCTTTGCTTTGACAAATATACCGTGATTATATAAGGTGTTGTTGTTGTTGTTATGTGCCGTTGAGTTGGACCTGACCCATAGCAACCTCTCCTTGGGTTTCCGAGGCAGTATCAGTACAGAAGTAGATTGCCCCATCTTCCTTCCGAGGAGTGGCTGGTGGGTTTGAACCGCCAGCCTTCTGGTTAGCAGTCAAGTGCCTTAGGCACTATGCTACCAGAGTATAAAAGAACTCTCTGTTCTATGTTTGTCACTTTCTGTAAATCTGAAATTATTCCAAAACAAAAAGTTTTTTTTAAAAGAGAATGCCAGTGGAAACATTAAAATATTTATATCAGAAATAAAGAACTTCTTTCTAAACATTTTAGGCAAATGAAAATAGTTTTTGAAGGAGTTTCTAAAATATCAGCTCCTGGTATATTTATTATAAAGAGTTTAGGTGCAGTCTTGCATAAATCCTGGGGAGAATTAGTGACTGCTTGTCTATGTCACTTGTAGCGTTACTATTAGGAAACACATTCTTTCAATGAGTATTTATCGACCTATTACAGGATCTCTGGTAGCATAGTGCCTAAAGCACTTGACTGCTAACCAGCAGGCCGGCGGTTCAAACCCACCAGCCACTCCTCAGAAGGAAGATGGGGCAATCTACTTCCACAGTGATACTGCCTCGGAAACCCAAGGAGGGGTTGCTATGAGTCGAGTTCGACTTGATGGCACATAACAACAACAACAACATTACAGATTACTCATGTTCCATGGATATGTCAGTCAACAAAACTGATTAAGATCCCTAGTGTCATGGGATGTACATTCTAGAACTGATGTCAAATTTAAAATGACTTCTTTATTCTTTTGTGAATAGACTGTGGGTGAGTGGGCAAGGGCAGAGCAGGGAGAACAGTTAGAGAGCTAATGCTGCGAGAGATGATGGTGCCTGGGACCATGGTGAAGCAGCAGAGGCAGTGAGAGGTAGTTGGTTTCTGGAGGTATATAACACACCCCTATATACATACACACAGCGGTGTATTGAAACTGGCTTGTGCCAACTCACAAAAACTGAGAATTATATTTTTAGGAAGTGTGCAAGACAATTGTTAAATATGCTATTATTTTAAATTTATAATTAAATAAATTATATTAAAAATAGAGGTAAGAATCATCAAACCTCTTCATGTTCTCCTTATCTTACTATTGTCTCTGCTCTTGAGATTATTTACATTTATTGTATCTGTGTGGTGAAAATACTATGAAATGGTCTGTTGCTGTGTGTCTCTTCCCAATTCTGTATTCAGTAATACCACATTGGTAGCTTGAAATCAATAGTGGTGGGGGTATTTATACCACAGAAATCGGCAAATGCTACAAATCAGGGCTTTTGTTTTTTTCAAATCTTTTAAGAGATATGGTTGCCAAATATTTACTAGTATACCACTAGTTATAACTATCCGAACTACACCCAGAAAAGTGTACCACCAATCCATAGGATGTTTTTAGGTTCCCTCACTTCTGTCATATTCCACCCATACAGGGGAAAAGCCTAGGAAAGGGTTAAATGTATATTATTTATACCACACCTAACAACAACAACAACAGGATAAAGTAGCATATTTATCTTAAGCTTCATGCCATTCATGCACATTTAGTTACACAAAATCATCATACCTGAGAATGAATTTTTAGTGCTGGCCCTAGTTTTAATCCCATAGTGTCTCGAAGGTGCTCCTCAGTGAGTAATGGTAAAGTTTCTCCATCAATTGCATGATCTTTAAATACCTTATTAAACACAAAAAAGTGTTAACTTTGTCCAAATGACTTTTTTTGTTTGTTTGTTTTATTGTGATTTGGGTGAAAATTTACAGAGCAAATTCACTTTCCATATAGCAGTTCACATACACTTTGCCTCATGACATTGACTACAATTTACCCCAATGTAACAGCTTACCTCCCACTTCCTCCCGATAGTTACCTTTTCCCTGTGTCCACCCCTTCATACACTCTTGCCCCCTGAGCTGTCTCCCTGTGCATAAACAGCCCTTCTTTCTCTCATGATTGTTCTCTCCAAGGAGTGTATCTACCTTAGGTAAATGTTCAAGTCATATGCCTGTCTTTTGTTTGGCTGGAAGCCACAGGTGTGTGTTCAATTCCAGACCTGAAGGGCAGCTAGGGGCCATAGTCTCAGTGGTTCGACCAGCCTCTATGAGACCCGCAAACCTGCTATGCCCCTCCCCCCTTTTTTTCCCAAATGATTTTGAGTTTTGTTCCATATTGTTCTCCCTCTCTATCCAGGATCTCTTACATAGATTCCCCTCCAAGTGGTTGACAGTGGTAGCCGGGCATTATCTAGTTCTTCTGGTCTCAGGCGTATAGGCTAAGGATTGCACAGTGTACCAGTCACTAGGACTAATTCTTTCCATGAATTTTTGGTTTTCTTCATTCCTCTTTGCTCTAGATGAGGAGAGACCCATTATTGCATCTACATGACTGCTTGTAAGCTTTTAAGATGCCAGTCGCTACTCACCAAAGTAGGAGGTGGAACAATGTTTTGTGTAGTATGTTATGCCAATTGAGCTTGATGTCCTCTGTGACTATGGTCCTGAGCCCACCGGTTCAACTACTTGGTCCTTCTGGGTAGCTGGCTGTGACCAAGAAGTGACTACAACCTTGTTCCTTGTCAGCTCTACTAAACACCTGGGAATTCTTATAGACCAAATGATCTTTTTAAAAAATTAATTCTTGCTATATATAGATATTTTGATTTGGGGAAAAAGCGTTAAGACTTCTTGATGATGACAGAAAAATTTGGCAAATTTCTTATTTTAGTTGCTCTCTCTTCTGTGCTCTAGCAGCACGTTGCTAGTGCTCTCTTGGTTTTTTTTTTTTAGCCACTTGGGCCACTCTGTACACATTTTTGTCTTTAAATTTATTTTGTTGATGTTGTTGAGAATATACACAGCAAAACATATACTAACATAACATTCTCTACACCTACACGTACAACGTAGTGATATTGATAGTATTTTCCAAGTTGTGGGACCATGCTCACCCTCCCTTTCTGAGTTGTTCCTCCCTCATTAATATAAACTCACTGCCCCCTAAGGTTCCACTAACTTTTGAGTTGCTGTTGTCACAAAGAATACCAGAAAGATGTTTACTTGTGTTTTATTGCCTATGCAAAAGCATTCAATTTTGTGGGTCCTAACAAATTATGGATAACATTGAGAAGAATGGGAATTCCAGAACACTTAATTATACTCATGAGGAACCTGTACATAGACCAGGAGGGTGTCATTCAAACAGAACAAGGGGATATTGCATGGTTTAAAATCAAGGGAGTGCATCAAGGTTGTATCCTTTCACCATACTTATTCAACTTGTATGCTGAGCAAATAATCTGAGAAGCTGGACTATATGAAAAAAGAATGTGACATCAGGATTGGAGGAAGGCTCATGAACAACCTACAATATGCAGATGACAAAACTTTGCTTGTTGAAAGTGAGGATGACTTGAAGCACTTACTGATGAAGATTAAAGATTATAGTCTGCAGTATGGATTACACCTCAATATAAAGAAAACAAAAATCATAACAACTGGATCAATAAGCAGCATCATGATAAATGGAGAAAAGATTGAAGTTGTCAAAGATTTCATATTACTTGGTTCCATAATCAACACCAGTGGAAGCAGCAGTCAAGACATCAGAAGATTGGGCAAATTTGCTGCAAAAGACCTCTTTCAAGTGCTGAAGAACAAAGACATCTCCTTGAACACTAGAGTGTACCTAACCCAAGCCATGGTATTTTCAATCACCTCATATGCATGCAGAGCTGGGCAATGAATAACACACTGCTATTGAGTCAGATCCGACTCACAGCGACCCCTCCTTGGGTTTCCGAGGCAATATCATTACAGAAGTAGATAGACCAACCTTCCTTCAGAGGAGTGGCTGGTGGGTTTGAACCGCCAGCCTTCTGATTAGCAGTCAAATGCCTTAGGCATTATGCTACCAGAGCTCCTAGACAATAAGGATGACCAAAGAAGAGTTGATGCTTTTGAGTTGTCGTGTTGGCAAAAAATACTGAGAGTACCATGGGCTGCTAAAAAGACTAACAAATGTGTCCTGGAGGAAGTGCAGCCAGAATGCTCCTTGGAGATGAGAATTGCCAGATTTTGTCTCACCTACCTTGGTCATGTTGTCAGAAAGGACCATTTTCTGGAGAAGGATATCATGCTTGGTAAAGTGGAGGGTCAATGAAAAAGGGGAAGGCCCTCAACAAGATGGATTGACACAGTGGCTACAATGATGGACTCAGGTATAGCAGGGATCATAAGGCTGGCACAGGACAGTGTTTTGTTCTGTTGTACATAAGGTTGCTATGAGTCAGGGATGACTCAATGGCACCTAACAACAACAACAACATTGTCACTTTGATAGTTCTTAAAAGAGCATAATATTCAAGGCAGTTTTTTTTTTTTTTTTACTAGTTTAGCTAGACTATAGTTTGGTTTTAAGATTTCAGGTGATACTTTTGGTTTAAGGTTTAAAGATTATCTCAAGGCACTAGTTTCAGTGGGTTCATCCAGCCTCCATGGCTCCAGAAAGTGTGGAGTCCATGAGAATTTGAAATCTGTTCTGCATTTTTTTCTTTCTCTCTCTTTAAAATCAGGATTCTTTTATAGAATCTTTGATCAAAATGTTCCGTAATTGTAGCTGGGCACCGTCTAGCTCTCCTGGTCTCTTGGCAAAAAACACAGTTATTCATAGAGGCAATTAGCCATCTGTTCCGTATCCTCTTCTTTTCCCTGACTCTCTTTCTTCCTCTGTTACTCTATGTGAATAGAGACCAATTGTTGTGCCTTGGATGGCTGATTGCAAGCTTCTAAGACCTCAGATACTACACAATGAATTAGAAGATAGAACAGAAGCAATTAAATTTTAGGCCAATTAAATTTTGCTCTTTAATAATCCTTGAAGTTCATTGTAATTCTCTGTTTATAGGACTCAGTTCCAACCTGCAACAGTTATTTGAGGGCAAGGATCAGTCTTATTTACCAATACACCCAATGTCATGGCTGACATGTAGTAGCAGATGTGTAATAAATATTGCTGCATGAATCAATGGAAGGATGAATGAATAAATGGATGTAGGTAAAAGTCATCACAGACAGTTCATCTCTCCATTTACAAGTGTGGTGTTTTCTGCCTTAAATGTAGGGTAAAGGGAGGAAGAACGTGTAGGTGACAGCTGTCAGCACTGTACCTTTCCAGGAGACCTGATTACTCTAACTCTGAAATGGTTGCAACCCTACTTTCCTTTCTTCCCAAAGCTAGGAAGACTGCTGGTAGACAAAGTTTCTGAGCAGATAAAGAGATGAACAAAAAAACTGGGCAGATGGTTAGTACTGTAATTTCAAGATCTCTAGCTTCAACTGGCCTGGCAATTCTGTTTCCTGGTGAGATTTTCTATTTCAAGCCTTTTTCATTCTCTGCTACATTTAGACCTCACAGAACCCTCCCTTATTTTCAGGAAATTATATAACTTCCTAATTAAAAAACAAAAATAGTAACTAGTAGATAAGAAAAAAAAATGCCAAACAGTTGCTGTGAAATCAACTCCAACTCATGGTGCCCCATTTCTGTCAGAATAGAACTGTGTGGATTTTTAGGAAGTAAATTGCTAGGACTTTTTTCTGAGGTGCCTCTGGGCTAACTAGAACCTCCAACCTTTTGGTTAACCGCTATGAATGCTGTTTGTACTACCTACAGACTTCCAATAGATAATTTCCTCTAATTCTGACCAATGAACTTAAAATTTATATATTCTTCTTCTTGCCTCATACAATGGAAACGGGGTTCTTCCACTGTTTAAAAACTCTCTCTCCTCTACCCCACCCTCCCATCTCAGGGACCTCACTTCATAGATAAGCCCCTCTTTTATCTCCAACCTTTCCTCCTCTACTGGCTTTTTCCAGAATACTAGCATTTAAGCAAATTTCTATCATCGTGAAAAATACACTAATAAATGAAAATACACAGGCCCTTCCTCACCCCATCTCTGAGTATTGCCCCATATCTCTCATTCCTTTCACAGCCAAATTTCTCAAAAGAGTTTGATGCTCGCTGTTTCTGTGTTCTCACTTCCTAGTCTTTCTTCAGTTCCATGGAGCCTGCCTTAAGCCCTGCCATTCTGTTAAATCTGCTCTTCTTTGGGTCCCTGTTACCAAATACTGGATATTTTTCAGTCCTCACATTTCTATAGTATCTGATTGATTTGGATGTTGTTTACTAGCTCTTTATGAAAAATACTCTTCCCTTGCCCTCCTGGGTACCCATTTTGCTCTCCTTTTCACAGTCACCTTTGCTGACTGCTGTTTCTTTGTCCATCCTTAGCTGTCAAGGGTTCTCAGGCTTTTGACCCAGGTCCTCTTTGGCCTCCCTGATTCACCTTTGTCTTTCCCTTGACTCTAACAGCTATATCTATATGCTGAAGACTTCTTAATATAAATAATTTGAAGCTTTGTTGTTGTTTGTTAGGTATCATCGAGTCCTTTCGACTCATAGCAACCCTGTATGAGAGAGTAGAACTGCCCCATAGGGTTTCCTAGGCTGTAATTCTTACAAAAGCAGTTCGCCAAACATTTCTTCTGCAGAGCCCCTGGATAGGTTTTAACTGCCAACCTTTTGGTTAGCAGCCAAGCGCTTAATTAGTTGCACCATCAATGCTCCTTAACTTAGAAGCTAAATGGTATCAATTCTGTCTCTTAGATGGTATT